CTGTCATTCTATATAGAGGAATGAAAGGTTACTGCTCTCTTTCTTCCTCTGTGACTACATTTCAGCTTTCAAGAGTCTAAAATATTGCCACACTGAGCTTTTAGCATTTCAGATCAAGTTGACTTAACCCCTGTGTAGTTGTTTCAAGGACAATCTTAAAATAGAAATGTTGTGGAAGCAAATAACTCAAAGCCTTATGGGTTTCCCACATGGAACATTGGAAACATGTTCCAGAATTGTCATTTTAAAAGAGGTAGCTGTGTTAGTCTGTGCTAGCATGTCATCCAAAACAAAAGAAAAATAAAAAAATAAAGAAGACAAGAATGTTGTGGCACCTTAATGACTAACTCTCTATTTTAATATGAGCATTTGTGGACAATCTGAGGAAATGGACTTGTCCATGAAAGCTCACATTAAATTATAGCAGTTAGTTTTTAAGGTGCCACAATATTTTTCCTCTCTTTTTTTGCCTGATATACAGTGCTTGATGACAGAACTGTGCTGAATCATGGGGAAATGGGGGTGGGTGGCTGGGGCATTCCTGAAACCTAATAGTATCCTATAGTTCCGTGGTGCTGTGATTTCATCACCAAGGAAGGCCATAGAACACCAGAAAATACCTGGGGTTCAGATCACCGCACTTCAATTTCTCAGCTGATCTGAGCTCAACAGGATTTGTATTCGCGAAGGCTTTCACGGCCGGGATCTAATGGTTGTTGTGGGTTTTTCGGGCTCTTTGGCCGTGTTCTGAAGGTTGTTCTTCCTAATGTTTCANNGGAAGAACAACCTTCAGAACACGGCCAAAGAGCCCGAAAAACCCACAACAACCACTCAACAGGATTGTTGTAAGGAAAGTCATATACTTGGGTCTTTGGAGGGAAAGTAATTTATAAGAGTGACAAACTGTATATACATATGGTTGAGGGGGAAAAAAGTATTTATGGCTGATAAGGCAAGGTGTGAAAGGTTGTGTGCATGGGTGAAGAGAAGAGTGAGAAAGGAGGGGGGAAGGGGATGGGAGGCAAAAACTGCCTGTCAGAGAGAGTTTGCATTTCTGTGAAATGGGCTTCTGTTGCAGCAGAAATCAAAGGACTCAGAGAAGTGGTTTTGTGTTTGGGGACCAGACTTCATCTCTGTCTCATCTTTAAGTTCTTGAGCATCTTATTTGGCTAGTATTCTTTTGATGTCAGGTGGATCATAATATCTCACCTGCAGAATGTGCCACAGTTTCCACTATTGAGAGTTCACTCTGTTGAAACAAATGGGGCTGATGCTCAAACACAAGGTGGTAACCAACTGAATGCCTCCTTGTGGAAGCAGTGAAAGAGCCCAACTGCCGCCCATACAATGGGAGAGCAAGAAGAGGAGTCTGCACCTTAACTTTTAGCTTCACAGGTCTGTCTTCTGTGTTTTGTGACCGATTGTGTCCACCATGGAAGATATTTTTTGAATGGGCATTTCCTTTATGGAAGTCATTTTGTAACAAAGACAGTGACACTATCGAAGTCCCATATTAGTTCGAAAAATATGGAGAACACAACAAACTGCAAAATCTTTACATTATGTCTATAGGTAAGCAAAAACAACTGTTTAAAAAGCAATTACTGTTTAGGGCTTGAATGCATTCACATAACTCAGGTAAGCCCGGATTTGGCCCAACTCACCACTGGAGGGAGCAGTTTCAAATGGGGGTACTGGGGCTGCTGACATAGAGCTGTTGCTTCCTTTGAAATGAATGAGGGAAATCTATTCAGTGCACTTTGCTTTCATAAAAACAGTAACGTATTTAAAGAAACCATGCTCAAGGTGCACAGCTGTTCTTTTATGTATTTCTTCATTTCTATTTTTTTTCCAATTCAAAGTCCCAAAGTGGTTTTTAAGGAGTAAGCTAGCCTAATGTAATTTTATTTCCACAATAGCACTCATTAACATGTCTGGATATGTAAGTGAGTGATCTTGGATGCAGATATGCTTTTCTGCCACAGAATGAGTGGTGGCAGAGTTCATGAAGAGTAACACTGCTGTAAATAGCTGCACTTAGCTGAGTAGATGTTATGACTTTTGAAATATTTCTTGGATAAGTCTTTCCTGTTACCTCATAAAGTGTGATCGATCACTCATGGTGATGGCGTGATACAAGCTCTTGCCCTCTAACTGTGCTCTGAGGTTTTTTTTTTTTACTGTTTGATCTGTTCTCAAATCAAAGAGCTTATGATTGTGACAGCAGTGACAATGTGTTCCGGGTGGTTATCTGGAAATATCTGTGGCTCTGTAGCGCAGGGGACAGGGCCCTCCCAACACCTATCGCTATATGAGATGAAGCAACCCTACCCGCACACCATCAAGGGATACTTAAAACTAGTCAAGCCATTTTTGATATACTGTACTGTAAGTAGAATATTCCACACGCATTTCTCTCTTTCCTTGGCAGAAATATACAATGACTGTGTTAATATCTAAGCAATCAATCAAACCCGTTTTGTGACATCAAAAATCTGCTTCCTGGGTCACTACCTCACTCGCTTGAATGGGAGGGCCAGCTCTAGACAAGAAATATGTCCTCATAATATAATGTAAGCTTACAGGATTGGTAGATCAGCAGTTTCTGCTTTTAAGATTTCAGGATGAAAGCCTGAAACAAGGAACAAGACCTTGTAATATCACAGGAGATAACCTTTTGTGTAACAATTGCAATATGTTTCTTCCATTGTAGCCAGCATAACACACACAGACACAATGTGTAGATCATGCTTTAAATGTTCCCCCACATTTAAAAAAACTTTGTAAGGAGAACAGGGAATTAACTGGATGTGACTTTCATCTCCCGCAGGATAGCATGTGCATACATGTAAACAAGTTTCTACCACTTTATCACTTGGGGGACTATTGATCAATGGCATCCTTCACCTAAACATTTAGTCTACACTTTCACCTTAACATTGTACCATTACTACATTCTGCTGTGTACAGAACTCAAGTTATTTACCACTGTTGTCTTAGCAAATGCATTGAAGAACCATCACATTTTTGAACAATATTAATCTTTAGAGAAGGGACGTGGTGGTCTTACAGGTTAGACTGCAGAAGCCTCTGTGCTGGAAGGTCAGAAGACCTGCAGACGTAAGATCGAATCCACATGACAGAGTGAGCTCCCGTCGCTTGTCTCAGCTCCTGCCAACCTAGCAGTTTGAAAGCATGTAAAAGCAAGTAGATAAATAGGTACCACCACGGTGGGAAGGTAACGGCATTCTGTGTCTAGTCACTCTGGCCACGTGACCATGGAAACTGTCTACGGACAAATGCTGGCTCTCCAGCTTGGAGATGGGGATGAGCACCACGCCCTCGAGTCCGACACGACTGGACTAAATGTCAAGGGGAACCTTTACCTTTACCTAATCTTTAGAGGAAAAACATTTGTTATTGCATCCAAGAGCTTCTTATGTTATTTAGGCAACAATCATACATACTGTATGTCTCCCTGGCAGTAAGTGCCTCTGACCATAATGAAGTTATCTTCCAAGCAGAGATATAGAATTGCACCAATGGTACTTTAAGTTTATTGTAAAATGAAATGCAGGAAGGCAATGAAAAAATGTGCCAAATTAAATTTTGTCCAACATTTTATTCATTTTTTATGCCAGTGTGATGCAAGTTGGCGTAAATCTTGGTAATGAACTGTTGTAAGTTAAGAGGCTATAGTGCATGCCTATGTTAACTTAACTTGCCAGCAATTTGCCACCAAGGTTTGAAGCACATGAGCTAAACCAAAAGGAATGAATAACTGATGAGATTTTGGCCAGTAAAATATTGATGTTATTTCAGCTGCAAAAAATAAAAAAAAATCTCTGTTTCCTGTGCTTTATAGTTGCATTCTAAAAAGAATATTTCTTCTCCCCTTGTAGCATGTTGCCTGTGATTCAAAGACAGGGCCAGTCTGCACATTTCTGCACTTGGTGACAGAGAACAGAAAGGGAGAAGAAATAGTGAATGAAGATCAGTTGCCTTTTTACAATCTCCCTGCATACTGCATCTGAAAATGCTAACCAAAATAATTTAAAGTATTCCCCAAAATAGTAGGCTTTGTAATAGCGTAGAATCAGCTAATTCAAAAGTGAAAGCCAGAAAAACCAGCAAATTGTGTGAAGATGTTAAATTTCAATAATCAGAAATACAGTGTCTCAGTATCTATGCTAACCAGTAGATATGTGCACAAACTACTAAAATGGCAGTTCATCTTCGTTTGTCAAGGTTGACGAACCATGAATTTCTAGATGCTTTGCCAACAAACCATGAGTAGATTTGTCAGCAATTTTAAAGACAACCTGTGGGTGTCAAAACAGAGTGCCCCCTGCCCCACAGCCCCCTTCCCACAGCCCCATCGCCTCCCAACCTTGTTCTCATCTGCCACCGCTGCCCACTCTGCCACTGTCTATGCCACTGTCCCCCATGCTGCCGCCACCGTTCAAGTTATCTGTGGGCCATAGGCAGGCAGGGCAGGCTCGGCTGCCAGAAGGGAAGCCAGATGCTGTTTGCAGAGGTGGACGAGGACAAGGTAGGAAGGCAATGAGGGGAGTGGGGGGAGGCTGGAGGGGGGCAAGGAACCAGCAGGTTCATAAATTGCCCCTAAATTTATTGCTTCGGGAAAGTTTGGATTATATGGTTTGGACAAACTCAAACCAATCTGAAGCAACACATTGGCAATTTTTCATGAATTTCATGGTTTCTTTTGGGTTTCGTGCCCATCTCTAGTAATCACCTGTTGCTTTTTACAGATATCTACAATTCCTGTCATCCCAGGGAGCAAAGAACTGATGGTTCTGATTTTCTTCTTCTCTGTAATTGTAGCCCTAATTTTAAAATACAGATTCTGTTTCCCAAGTTTTGAAGTTCAGTTCTTCTCATATACAGCAGCTACATTTTTATCTTTTTTATCATTATCCTAGGTGAAGCTTCAAGCCAAAGTAATGAGCACACAGACCGAGGAGACATCACAAAAGTACCCATGTCATATGCCTTTATTTTGAGTTATTTGACTTACAGGCACTGTGCACTGGTGGTGTTTTATAACTCCAAAAGTTCTTTGTGTCATCACTAATCAAGGAGAGATAGTGCAGAGGTATGGGGAGAACTATCTCACAGCAATAGTTCCAGGTTCCAGAAAGATCTCAAAAGACATCTGGATAAGTAAATTCCCTTCTTTTTAAAGCCACAAAGCAGGGAATTTTGTTTTACAAACAAACAGTTTTAAAAAAATAAAAAAGTATATAAGAGAAGCCATTTAAAAGCTAAATACAATTCTAAAATGGTATAAACTTGCACTGCTTCATGGACTTTCCCCCCCTCCACAAATGTGGAAAGAGCTGTTTTAAAAACTAAACATTACTTTAAAAATTCCATGCATTAAGACTTAGTGTTCTAGGCAACTGAAAAAAGGAATGGCAATAAATAGAACTTTTAAAAAAACCAAACATAACTCACTGTTTCATGACACTAATGGAACAGAAACTAGTCTATAAGGCACTTCCTCAAAGGCTATTATTAAACAGCATAGGAAGCCTGAAAGGAAAAGCAGTTGAACAGAGCGACTATTTACAATTGCACTGAAGAATGACACGACATGGGCCTTGTGAGATATGAATGGAGGAAGTCCCAAGGAGTTTGAGTCCTTGTGAAAGTCTTGCATAGGGACTGCAGGTTGGGCAATGGGGCAGAGGCATTTCCCCACCCTTCTAAACACATACACTTGAGGCAAGAGCAGAATCTCCCTCCATCCTGTTTTAAGGACAAGCAGGGCTATACCTGTGTACTAGGAACAGTAATAGGAATGAGCTTGAAAAACATCTGGGATGCATTCTAACTAGAAAAGTGTAAGGGTTTGCTGAAGCCAGACAGAAGAGAATTTTAAAAGATTTGTAATCTACAGTCAACTGATTCCTCTTCTCCAAGGTTGCTGCAGCTGCTCTCAAGTTCCTCAAGAAAATGAAAAGCCCCAGGAGACTTCCCCCCCCCGCCCGCCGTACAGTTCTGTCTCCTGCTGACCTTTCAGCAAGGGAAGTGATCTGCTTATCTCAAGGGTTCCAGAAACTTATAAAATAGACTGTGCTCTTACATGGAACAGTCAGATGTTTTTGCCAGGCTGTAACTGGACAATTCTGAGCTACTACCCACTTGGAAAACCAGACCGCCTTTTAAACAGACTATTGTAGGTCACAAATGCCAGAGACTAACAGAAAAGCCTCATCAGTCCCAGGCCGCCAAATGAGACCATAACTCTTTTCTCTTCTGCAAATCTTGCAGATATATGAGAGTTGGGTAGTTCACTATTCTAGAAATGCTAACTAACTTGTTTATTCTAGGGCTAGATAATACCAGTCTTTGAGATGTCAAAACTGGAGCATTTTGCTAGAGCACACCTGAGAATTTCTTTGCCATATGAAAGATGTCTGCAGTGCTAACAGAGATACCTGGCAAATGTAAGTGGTCATCTTATTGTTATGTAAGTCTTCCATCATGGCAGGGTTGACTATGAGCTGGAAGAAGTCACTTTTATGGGCTACAAATTCTGGAACACCTGAGCTGGCATGGATAATGGCCATGCTGGCTGGGGCATTCTGGAAACTATAGCCTCTGAAAGCAATTTTTCCAGGTCTAGGTCAACAACACGTGGCCTATCGGCTACATGCCACATTGAGGGCACATGGCACACTTTAGCTCCTACAGAACTGACCCATCCAAACCACCAGAATCATGGCAGTGTCCTTTCTTCCTTTCTCTTTCTGCTTCACCTAGAAGACAGACTGTCCTGTGATTAAGCACACTGCAATGCTGTGGAAAGATGCTCCATCACCCTGCTGCAACATAGAGAGCCACTGAAGTTGCTATCAAATTCTGCAGTTGTAAACATCTTACAAATGGCCAATTCAGCCACTGCCACTAAGATGTAACAGTGGTACGGTCGCTGAAGATATTCCAGGGGTACAGTGGTACAGGCAATTCTAAGCCAACTGAAGTCCAAAGGGATCAAAGCACCTTTCCCCAACAATCCAAGGCAATCTTTGTAGCAAAATGTATGCACCATTAAGTGTAACCCCACAGAGGCAGATTTTTTGTGATCTCTATAACCATTAAGTTATTGCACAGCAGTTATAAGCTGCGTGGCAAGAAAAAGATGGATTATACTGAAAAATAGACCTGATATTAATTATTCCTATAAACCTCCATACCCAGATCCCTATATTTAACAAAGTTAGTAAATATACAATGCTTCCATTTAGGACTATTATCTATTTTTCTTTCTGGTTTTCTTAATAAATTTTGGACTCCAAATCCTCATTTGTGCGGAAGGTTCCCAGGAAGAAAGAAGCTATATATTAGCACAAAATGCTCTTATCCATACCCACTTCTTGCATGAGTGGCCCACATCATATGCTCAGAGTGAACAGGAGAGGGCAGCAGATATCTACAGATGAATCTCTCCTTCACAGAATTGTTAAGACAGGTCTCTTTTAAGCAAGACTTTGTTCCTTCTGCTGAGGCACATGGGAACTATATAAAAATCTTTTACAGTAAAAGATTCATCATGTTGTACAGAATGCTACAAATTACTTATGCCAGTATAAATCCAATGGTTTAAACTGCAGGAAATTACTATTAATCAATAAATTGCTACTTATATCTGTCACCATGCTCCAGTTATGTGAGTTAGTGCATGATGAAGGATATAAGTGATAACTCATTAACATCCAGCTATTTGCTGCTGAAATTTACACCACTTTACTTACAATGATGTAACTAATTAATAAGATCCTGACCATCAATGGGTAAGGGGCATAAGAGCCAGAGGGAGAACTGACATCAGTTATGGTTTTGGCTAGCTAGAAACCAAAGTCTCTAACTATTAACACCAGAAAGACCTGCATTGCTATTTGTTTCACACTGCCCACGTTAAGCTTCATATTTTGCATTTGTTCGGGTACGCAGATGTATGTTTATACTTTAAATACAAGGAGCTTTTAAATTTTATAGCAAGGAGGAAGAGGATGGGGGAAAGTGTCTTGTAGTGCAGTTCGGAAAAGTCAGTTTGAAGGACTATGTTCTGGGTGGTTGCAGAGTTGGACATTCAGCTTTAATGCAAGTCTTCGCTCTGGGACAATTCTGTGAGTATCTCAATGAGATTATCCAGCCCCCAGAGGTAGCCATCTTCTCTGTTCCCTTCCACCCAGGGCATGTTGTGTTGGAGGAATTGTCCCTCTGGAAGCGGCATAGTTTTCCCAAAATCAATCATCCAGACTTTGGCTTGTTCCCTGTTGTCGTGGATGAAGAGAAGAGAACTCCCGATTACCTGCAGAAGAAAAAGACCCAAGATTTAAATCTACAGATAGGTAGGCAATGTGATGCACATACATACAGGACTCCCAAGCAAGAGCAAAAATGGTAACTCTTAACCATTTGTGTAATTTGTACTTGTAATTAAAGCTGACAATTCACACTAAAATATATCATATTCTACTCAATAACACATATTGATAGTTACCATTTTCGTTTTTGCACATCACTATAAATGATTTGCTATCTGAAGGCTCCATGGTGTTAAATAAGAGCAAGGGCTTAGCAAGCTGCAAGCATACTCAGTTGTAGTTGCTGTAAACATAAAATACTCAAAGTCGGGAGATCAGAAAGTTTGACATTTTTTGTGAAGTAGGGGAAAAAGCACAATCCATCATCGTTTCTCTCCTACTCCCATGTCTCAGGACTATTTGGAAACTCAGTTCAAACAGGAGCTTGTGCAAATTAAAATAATGATCAGGTTCAGTACAAAGTGAAATGTCATCTTCCAAATCTTCAGAGATAAGAAACTTCCTAAGCATGAAAGCAAGCAGTGAAGAATGCATTCCCATCTTTTCCCTTAGCAGTCTGTGGTGACTTCCCTCTGGGTTTTTTTTTGTTAAATAAAGTGGCATGTCAAAGCAGCAATGCTTCTACCAAACACAATACACACAATACTGTCAATGTATCTCATTTATCTAGAATAGCGCTGCACTAATAAGAAAATATATATCTTAAAAATAAATGAAAATAGAGTAGATGAAAATAGAAGTGTGTGTGGGGGGGTTCTCAGTCATCCTTTTCAATACCTACCCAATATATCACAGGGTTGTAACCTCAGATAACACCACCCACAGCTCTGTTTTGGTGTGCACTAACCATCTGCATGGGCTATAGTATCCAGTGGTCCCCAACCTTTTCCCAACCGCGGACCAGTTTGGGGGGGGGCATGGCACGCCTGCAGGGGGCGGAGCACTCTCATGCTCATGTAGACAGCGGCGCTCGCAGGGGGTGCTAATGGGGGCAGGACATGTGTCTGTGGCTCCTGCCTAGGCCATGGACCACTGCCAGGTCACGGATCAGGGGTTGGAGACCTCTGGGCTATACAACAGGAAAATTCGGAGCATGCCAAATTAGACCAACCCCCCCCCCGAAACCCCAGCACTATGTCAGAAAGGAGTGAATCAGCAATAAAAGGAGGTGGGATGTATTGCTCCAAGTCAAAACACGTGGGGATGCTATAAATTGAACAGCATGAAAAACAATTCAAAGAATGAACTATTCTGACAGTACAGATGTGCCCTGAGTTTTTATGCTTATTCAGGCATCACTGAATCCTGTTTACTTGTTTAGATAATATGGACACATGCAAAGTCTTTTTTTAAATAACAGCGATAGAGTGCTGGGTTTACCTCATGGGTCTTGAAGAATGGTGATATTTCCAAGGTGTCACGTATATTCTTCAATCGATTAAGGTAACTATTCTGAAATGGCAAGAAGAGAATGTTAAGACATTTGAAAACAACTCTTGAGCCCCCTAAACCAACAATAACCTTGCCAAATCAAGAGGCATGATGTCAAACTTTCCTAGCATTGTTCACAAAGAAGCTGTGATTACATTATATGCAACAATGAAACGCAAGAGAGAGAAAAAAATACGTCATTGTGCACAACAGCGTCTGTGCATGTTCCCTCCACCATCCTCCAAGTCTTGAGAGGATAGTGAACCAAGAGCACTGTAGAAAAAAATGAGACAAGAAGGAGTGCAGAGTTGACTGTTCCCCAAGCAGGCCTACAAGCCATCCATCCATATCCAAGATGCCAGTGGTACAGGATGAACTCAAGAAGTCTGATGAAGCGCTATTTATTTGCCTTTTGATTTGTTCTGACTTTTCTGAAAGGCAGGACTGCAAGAAAATGCGTTTATATAAAAAATGAACAATACTGCAGCTTTGTTTATAATCTTCCTCCCCTTAACTATTATCCATTGTAAATCATCTTGGCAGGATTGTAAGTGGTGAGACACTCGCACATGTAGACACCAAGTTTAGAGATTTTTACTTACGGGTTATATACACTTAGGTCTAAAATTAAGTTAATTTGTCTAATTGCATGTTTTGTAGAAATAACACACACAAATAACATGCTCCAGTATTTATATGCTTACTTTCAGAACAATGTCCTTCTGAAGCAATTTATATACACATAAGATATGTTCATATTGTAATTAAATTTCAAAACTAACAAACGGCAGCTGTTTAAAACAATATAAAATCCATCATAATAGTTTTGAATCAAAAGCAAGTTGAAATAAGTCTATGGGGCATTGAAAAAGCAGTTAACAATGAGCCCTGGCAGACTCTGACAGTGGGAGGGAGGCCCACCAATCTGGAGCCGCTATCAAAATGGTCCTGTCTTTAGTTCCTGTCAAACCTTTTTAGCAGGTCTACAAGCAAAGGCTCTAGGGCTGATCTTCTCAGTAGCTGCTCCCAGGCTTTGAAA